GCAATCCGCGGTCGACTTCATGGGCGTCCAGCGACATAGCCATTATGCTAACTGCTGGTCGCACCTTGTGAATAATTTTTTAAAGAGAATTATTCGTTGGTGAGTATGCTTTCTCACTTTTTCTCTGTTGTTTGTTCTGTCTCTCTCTGGTCAAATTAAAATAAAAAATAAATAAAGTTAAACTGAAAAAATTATTTAAAAAAAGAATTATTTGTTTATTATCATTATTTTTCAGTTTTGACCAGAGAAATAGAGAGAGAGAGAGAGAGAGATCAAGCTGCCAGGTCCAGGATTTGAACCACAGGTGGTCATGTGGGGAGTTCAGAGCCTTTAACCACCCCACCACATACCGGTCTCTGGTGCATAATTGCTTTTTTGGGGAGAGGTTTTTTTTTTTTTTTTTTTTCTTTTTTTTTTGGCTATTGGGGGCCTTGGGTCCCCAGAACGACAGAGAGAGACAGAGAGACAGAAAGCAAGAAATCGCCCCCCCCAGGGGGGGCGGGGATGGCCACGCCGCAATCCCTTCTCCTTCATTCTCCTCTCGGGATCTTGGGCACACACGCACACGCGCCCAACGTGAGTTTAAGCCACCGGGTCCGGTACTCGAACCGTTGCCGACTACAACGACATAGCCATTATGCTAACTGCTGGTCCCTCTGGGGCAGAATTATTAACTCCTATACAGGCAGCTCTGCTTTCTGGATTTTTTAATTTGACTATAGAGTTAAGGTCGCTGTTTGCCTTGGCCAAACTATATTGAGACCACGCCCACCTAGAAACGACCGATCAGAGCAACGCTTATCTAGAGGCCACGCCCACCTAGAAACAGCGTTTCCGACCCACGCCCATCTATAGACCACGCCCCTCCAGAGTCTATACCTGCCTAGAGAAGGTGCCCATCTAGAGGCCACGCCTACCCAGAAACGATGCTCATCCCAAGCCACGCCCACCCACAGACCACGCCCATCTAGAGGCTGCAGCTGCCCAGAGACTATGACTATTTAGAGCCAGGCTTTTCCAGAAGCCTGGTCTATCTAAAGGCCACGCCCCCGAGGCTGCAAACCCAGGATGCAGGGGGTGTGGCGTCCCAGTGCTGCAGCCCTACCTCGGCCATGCGCTGGTCTTCCTCCACTGGTACGAACTTGTCGTGCATGCCGTGGACGAGCAGGACGGGCACCGTGAGCTCCGCGTGGTACACCTCGTCGCCCTCGGGCCAGTACTGGCCGCTCATCATGGCCCGCAGCACGAAGGAAGACACGTTGAACGCGTTGCCCTCCTTCAGCAACTGCTTCTCTTTGGCTCCTTGGCGGGCAAAGCCGGCCCTGGTGATGAGATGCAGCGTTAGAGTCCCTCGTGTCTCCGGCTGTTAAGGGGTGTCCCAATGCCATCCCTCCTCTTGGGCAACGATAGCTCCCAGCTCCGAGGAGTGAGGGGGGTTGTGGGGTTGGATCCTGGGCTATGGGACCGGTCCCTGGAGGTCCTTGCAGGGCATGGGTCCCAGGATCAAGCATAAGGGGGTGTCCCTCGGCCATAGCGCTGGAAGAGGCGGATGGTGGCTTTTGTACAATCATTCTCCGCGAGGGTCCTGGCTGTGGCCCCGTAACATCAACGGACTCCGAAAACCGAAGGCCCAGAGTCCCGACTAGCTCCCTCGAGGCCACGCCCTTTCCAGCCCATCTGGAGGCGTGGCCCTAACTTGACCACGCCCAACCACCCTTGAAGCTTCCCTCCCACCGAAACCTGGGAGATGTCAGAGTCAGGATCAGAGGCTTTGGGGTGGGGACGCTCACTTGAGGAAGCTCCAGGCCAGGCAGGGCGACAGGCAGTGGAGGACGCAGGTGGGCATATTGAAGATGGAGCAGAAGCTGGGCTCCAGCGCCGTGGGGCCTCCCCCGTTGATCATGATAACCTTGTGGACCAGGTCCGGGTACTCGTGCGCCAGGAATGTGCAGAAGGAGACGCTGCAGGGCGCGCGGGAGATGGAGGGGAGGGTGGAGGAGGGTGGTGAGCAGGATGCAGGCAGTGAAGGGGTTAATGCTCCCCCCACACTCTGGCGCCAGGGCCTTGAAGACCACCAAGAGTCTTCCCCTGGGGCCCAGGGCCACACATAGGGTGGGCGAGAGATGGGGGGACATCTCCAATGCCCCCAAAAATGTGGGTTTGGTTTTTGAGGGTGGAGTGTTGTTTTTGTAGAAAAGAATGATTGGGGGAACCAGCAGTTAGCGTAATGGCTATGTCGCTGGACTCCCACGTAGTCAACCGCGGTTCGTGTCCCGGACCCGGTGGCTTAAAACTCACGCTGGGTGTGTGTGCGTGCGTGCCCAAGATCCCGAGAGGAGAATGGAGGAGAAGGGATTGCGGCGTGACCATCCCCCCCTGGGGGGTGATTTCTCACTTTCTGTCTCTATGTCTCTGTCTGTCTGGCGAGCGCACATGCCCTACAGTGAAAATCTCTCCAAAAAAAAAAAAGAATGATTGGGATCAGTAGATGGCCGTAACTGGACTCCCACATAGTCCACCACGGTTCGACTCCTGGACCCGGCAGCTTAAAACTCATGCTGGGCTCGTGTATAAGAGCCCAAAATCCTGAGTGGAGGGGGCCAGCAGATGGGATCATGGTTACATCACTGGACTCCCACGTAGTCAACTGCGGTTCAAGTCCTGGACCTGGTGGCTTAAACCTCATCCTAGGCGCATGTGTGTGTGTACCCAAGATTCCGAGAGGAGAATGGAGAAGGGATTGCTGCATGGCCATCCCCCCTGGGGAGAGGGGGGACTTCTCACTTTCTTTTTTTTTTTGAGAGGTTTTTACTATAGAGCGCGTGCGCTCACCAGAAAGACAGAAAGAGACAGAGAGACAGAAAGGGAGAAATCACCCCCCAGGGGGTTTGGCCATGCCGCAATCCCTTCTCCTCCATTCTTCTCTCGAGATCTTGGGCATGCACGCACACGCGCCCTGCGTGAGTTTAAGCCACTGGGTCTGGGACTCGAACCATGGTTGACTACATGGGAGTCCAGTGATGTAGCCATTACACCATCTGTTGGTCCCTATCATTTTTATTTTTCAATTTGCTACAGGGCACGTCTACTCACCAGAGAGAGGGAAAGTGAGAAAGCAAGCCACCAGGTCTGGAACTTGAACCATGATCTGCCAAGTGGGAGTCCAGCGCCCGAACCACTATGGCAGCTGCTGGCCCCTCCCCATATATTTTCAATCTGAAGCTGGTAGAATCCACGGATGCAGACCCCACAGATGTAGAGAGTCAACTATGTTTAGTACCAAGGGTTGCTTAGAAAGCAATCCACCAGGTCTGGGACGCGAACTGTGTCGGTCATGTGGGAGTGTGCAGTGCCTTAACCACCAAGCCACCTGCTGGTCCCGCCATTTATTTTTGGTAAACTTTTTTTTTTTTTTTAGAGAGAGATAATTTTGCTATGGGGAGCTTGCGCTTGCCAGAGACACAGAGAGTGACACGGAGACAGAAAGTGAGAAATCATCTTCCAGGAAGAATGGCCATACTACAATCCCTTCTCCAATCTCCTCTCAGGATTCGGGGCACACACACACACACACACACACACACACACACACAGTGTTAAAGCCACTGGGTCCAGGATTCAAACCACAGTCAACTACGTAGGAGTCCAGTGATGTAACCATTATGCCATCTGTTGGTCCCCCTTATCCTTCATTCTTCTCTTAGTATTTTGGGCACACACACACGTGCCCAGCATGATTTTCAAGCTGTCAGGTCTGGGACTTGAACTGTGGTCAGCCATGTGGGAATACAACATTTTAACCATCATGCCACTTGCTGGTCCCATCCCAGCTTGTTTTTTGTTTTTTTTTTTAAACAATTATTTTATTTAACTTTATTTATTATTATTATTATCATTATTATTTTCCAGTTTGATCAGAGAGAGACAGAGAGAGAGAGAGGAAGTGAGAAAGCAAACCACCAGGTCCGAGACTTGAACCGTGTTCGGCCATGTGGGAGTCCAGCGCCTTTAACCACCATGCCACTTGACGGCGTGACTTGTTTTTCAAGGTACTAGGTCTGGGATTTGAACCTCACAGTCAGCCATGTGAGATCCAGTACCTTAACCACACGCCAACTCCTGTCCCAGATTTTTTTTTTTGGAGGGATTTTTGCTGTAGGGTGCCAACTCCTGTCCCAGATTTTTTATTTTTTTTGAGGGATTTTTGCTGTAGGGCACATGCACTCGCTGGAGACAGAAAACGAGAAATCACCCCCTGGGGGGATTGGCCATGCCACAATCCCTTCTCCTCCAGTCTCCTTTTGGGATCATGGGCACGCATGCACACATGCCCAGCATGAGTTTTAACTCGCCAGATCTGGGGCTCGAACCACGGTCGACTCCAAGGGAATCCAGTGACATCGCCATTACACCATCTCTTGATCCCTCCTGGCTCAAGCGAATTTAAAATACTTTAAGAAAGTTTGTAGGGCCAGCTGGTGGCATCATGGTTAATGTGGCCAGATCCTGTGTGGCCAACTGTGCAGTTCGAGTCCTGGACCCAGTGGCTTGCAAAACACTCTGGGAGTGTGTACACGTGTGTCCAAAACCCAGAAAGAAGAGAGAAATAGAGCAGAAGGGATTGTCGCATGGCTATACCCTCTGGGGTATGCTTTCTCTCTCTCTCCCTCTTTATCTCCAGTGAGTGCACATAACCTATAGCAAAATTTAAAAAGAAAGAAAGTTTGCATACAACTGCTGCAGAAGATGGGATGCAGGCAGGATTCGGGTGGCTCTGACTGCACCAGTGACTCACTGCATGCCTTAGGGCCAGTTGCTTAACCTCTCTAAGCTTCAATCTGCACATAGACGAAGTGACGGAACTGATTTCATAGCATTGTTATGCGTTACAGGAAGGACCATAAATCGGTGCTCGTGTATTTAGATGAATCATTTTATCATGAACATCAAATTCTGAGGACATTATCATATACATACATAAGAGGTATGTTACCTCCCAGCCGAGATTCCTATCTTCTGAAACTTACATAACTTATTCTTTTTCTTGTCTAATTGCATGGGCTACAGCTTCTAAAACTGGTTCTCAATCTGACTGGCTGATTGAATCTGGCTTTTCTTCCTGGGTAAAGGAGGGTCTGGGACTTGGCACTGGTCAGGCCCCCAGGGCATAAGCCTTCCTTGGAGTATGAGTGTTTTGGTAAACACTAGACAGTAGAGTCACCTGGTTATGACGATAAATTATAGTAACTTGTTTCTTTGTAAAGAGAATTTATGAAATTCCAAATAACCCTTCCTTTTTCTTTTTCTTTTCTTTCTTTCTTTCTTTTTTTTTTTTTTTGTTGAGAGATTTTTGCTACAGAGTGCATGTGCTTACTGGAGAGACAGAAACAGAGAGACAGAAAGCGAGAAATCTCAGGGGAGATGGCTATACCACAATCCCCTGCCTTCCATTCTCTTCTCAGGATATTGGGCACACACGCACATGTACCTGGCGTGAGTTTTTTTGTTGTTTGTTTTATAAGATTTATTTATTTAATTCCATTTGTTATTATTAATTTTTAAGAATTATTTATTGGGAGCCGGTGAGTGGCGTGGTAGTTAAGGGTACTGGATTCCCACATGGCCGACCATGGTTCAAGTCCTGGACTTGACAGCTTGCTCACTCTCTCTCTCTCTCTCTCTCTCTGTCCCTCTCTGGTCAAATTGAAATAAACAAATGAATAAATAAATAAAAATCAAACATTAAAAAAAAACACTTTAAAAAAAAAGAATTATGGGAACCAGCAGTTAGTGTAATGGCTATGTCGCTGGACTCCCACGTAGTCGACCGCGGTTCGTGTCCCGGACCCGGTGGCTTAAAACTCACGCCGGGCGCGTGTGCGTGCGTGCCCAAGATCCCGAGAGGAGAATGGAGGAGAAGGGATTGCGGCGTGACCATCCCCCCTGGGGGGTGATTTCTCGCTTTCTGTCTCTATGTCTCTCTCTGTCTGTCTGGCGAGCGCACGCGCCCTACAGTGAAAATCTCTCCAAAAAAAATATGTGGGAGTCCAGCGACACAGCCATTACACCAACTGCAGGGCCCTCTTTTTTCTCTTGATTTAGAGGTCAAACATTTGGTATATTAGTTTGCTGAGGCTGTCATACATAATAATACACATTAAATGGTTTAAGCAACAGAAATTGAATTTCTCACAGATCTAGAGTCTATAAACAACAATGTCAGAGTGTCCCCAGGAATGCTTTTCTTGAGGCTCCTGTGACTGCCTGCAGATAACAGCTCCTTGTGTCCTCAGTGGCCTTGTGAGCACATGTCCTTGATTTCTCTTCCTCTTCTCCTCAAGAGACCAGTCAGAATGGAGTAGGTTCTTCAATCTGACTTAATTCTTTCATTAAAGGTTCTGTATCCCTACACAGTCACATTCTGAGATTCCGAGGTTCAGTGACTCAAATGTGAATTGGGAGGGAGAGGACATAATCCAGGTCATAAGTTATTTTCTTCATTTTCAAGTCCTTTCACTTTTTTTTTAAAAGAATTACTTAGTTTTTATTCGTTCAATCATTTTCATTTGACCAGAGAAAGACAGAAACACAGAGAGAAGGAAAGTGAGAAAGCCAGCCACCAGGTCCGAGACTTGAACCATGGTCGACCAGGTGGGAGTCCATCGATTTAACCACCACACCACCTGCTGACCCCTTGTTATTATTATGTTTAAATTAGACCAGAGAGAGACAGAGAGAGAAAAAGCAGGCTGCTCCGTCTGAGACTCACACCATAGTCAGCCATGTGGGAATCCAGTCCCTTTAACCACCATGCCATTTGCCAACCCCTGTTTTTCCTTTTCTTTTTCTATTTGTCAGAAGGCATAGGGGACCAGCAGGTGGTGTGATGGTTAAGGGTGCTGGACTCCCACATGGCCAACTATGGTTCAAGACCCAGATCTGGCGGCTCGCTTTCTCACTTTCCCTCTCTGTGTGTCTCTCTTTGGTCAAATTAAAATAAATGAGTGAATAAATAAAGCTTAATAGAATAATTCTTTCTTTTAAAAAAGAAAGAAAGAAAGAAAGAAAGAAAGAAAGAAAGAAAGAAAGAAAGAAAGAACGCATGTAGAGTCTCCAGAGGGAAACAGAGAGGGGAACAAAGCAGTCCAAAAAGTTGTATGGTAATACCACAATCCCTTCTCCTCTATTTCTTCATCCTATTGATATATTTTTTTAAAGAATTATTTATCTTTTTTTTTTAATTTTCAATTTGCTACAGGGCACGTGTGCTCAGCAGAGAGAAACAGAGAGAGAGAGTGAGAGAGAGAGAGAAGGAAAGTAAGAAAGCAAGCTATCAGGTCTGGGACTCAAACCGTGGTCAGCCATGTGGGAGTTCAGTGCCTTAACCACCACGCCACCTACTGGACCTCCACCCTAGGATATTTTGGCCTTGCATACACATGCATCTGGTAAGTTTGTTTGTTTGTTTGTTTTTTAAGAGGCTTTTGCTATAGGGCAGACAGACAGAGAGAGACAGAGAGACAGAAAGCGAGACATCACCCCCCAGGGGGGATGGCCACCCCACAATCCCTTCTCCTCCATTCTCCTCTCGGAATTTGGGCACTCATATGCACTTGCCTGGTGTGAGTTTTAGAACCGCTGGGTCTGGGACTTGAACCATGGTTGACTATGTGGGAGTCCAGCGACATCACCATTATACTATCTGCTGGTCCCCCAGCTGCATTTTTTAAAAGTGTATTTATTTATTTCCTTTGAGAGAGAGAGAGAGATCCAGCTGCATTGTTTAAAAGCATATTTATTTATTCCCTCTGAGAGAGAGAGAGAGAGAGAGAGATACAGGGTCTCCTGACAAACAGGGTCCTAAAGCTAAGGTCCACCCCCAGCCCCAGCCAGACAGCATTATAGGTACATATACAGGCCTGGTGTGTACAAGGAGGCCCTGGGTCAGGTACCTAGCACCTTTGGTTTTAAAATTTTTTTATGATTTATTTATCAACTTCATTTGTTGTTATTATTATTATTAATTTATTTAAATATTGATGTTTTAAAAATTTGACCAGAGAGAGACAGAGTGAGCGAGAGAGATAAAGAGAGGGAAAGTGAGAAAGCAAGCTGTCAGATCTGAGACTCGAACCACAGTCGGCCATGTGGGAGTCCAGTGCCCTTAACCACCACGCCACCTGCTGGTCCCTGTTATTATTATTTTTTAATTTGGCCAGATAGAGACAGTGAGAGAGAGAAAGGGGCGGGGGGAAAGCAATTTACCACGTCTGGGACTTGAACCACAGTCAGCCATGTGCAAATGTAGTGCCTTTAATCACCATGCCACTGCTGGCCCCAGATACCTAGCACCTTCTTACGTAGGTCTAGTTCCTCCATTTTCCACCACTGTCTGGCTCCTGGTTGAAAGTTTGATTTTTTAGATTTTTGCCGTAAGGTATGACTGCTTGCAGGGGAGAGGCAGAAAGTAAGAGGGAGAGTGAGAAATCACCCTCCAAGGGGGATGGCCATGCCTCAATCCCTTCTCCTCCATTCTCCTCTCGGGATTTTAGGCATGCACACACATGCACCTGGCATGATTTTTTAAGCTGTAGGTTTGGGAATGGAACCGTGGCTATATGAAGTCCAGGGCTTTAACCACCATGCCGCCTGCAGGCCACACCCCATTGGTTTTGGCTTTTGTTTTTGTTTTTTAGATTTTTCTTGGTTTTGAGCACTTGCACTCAGCAGAGCAAGGGAGAGACAGTAGCATGAAAAGTGAAAAGGCACCCCTGGGTGAGGAATGACCTCCTCCAATTCCTTCTCCTCCTGGGATATTGAGCATGCATATAGACACGCCTGGCGTGATTTTCAAGCGCCCGGGTCTGGGACTCACATTGCAGTTGACCATGTGGGATTCCAGTGCTCCAGCCACTATAACACCTGCCAAACACCTTC